AAAGGAGTCAGAGTGGAAACAGATGTTCTCCAAAACAATGTGTCAGAATAACTCTAGTAACAGCCAATTGTCACCAGAGCTGAGGAAATAATTCCTTGCTGGCTTTTTGCAGGCTGATAGTTTTCCGATGATGGGTGGGGTTTCTGTGAAGTTCTAATTTATTTATTTATTTATTTTTGTGAGCAACCTAAATGTTTTGGTGGAAAAATATCAATATTTCACTTCTTGAAGTTCTGTGCTTCTCAGGGTTTGTATTTCTCTTCTGAAAACTGTTGATTCTCAACAAGTAATCTGAAGGGATTTGGTGAATCATTTTGGTTGTAAATTTTTGTGAATAGCTCATTGTTGATATTTAACATTAAGTGAACTGGTGAATTACAATATTCAGGAATTAAATGGCTTAGATGCTTTGTTTTCATAAAAAGGGACTTGCAGAACACTGCTGTTCTTCAGAAGACAGAGGACATAACCACAAGAGTAGATTTTGCCTACTACCAAGCGAGCAACAAAAACAGATTGATCTTTCGTAGAGTCTGTCTTCTCTTCTGTATGTTTTCAAATCATTGGTGACAGGTGGATGACCTGGACAACGATCCTTTATGGCATAGTGAATCAGTCCATGCTTTCTGCCCACTGAATGCACTGGAAGATGTCTATGCTCATGAGGATGGTTGGCAACCGATAGCACCAGACCACAGCAGGTAGAAAACCCATCCCTTGACAAGTAGTATTTGTGTGAGGGGAGGCTTTGCCCACATCTTAGGAAGCGGAGAGATCATCTGCTTAGAAATGTTGGTTGAGTCCCAGATCTGCTTTTGTATGTTACCTGAAGTTTAGTAACTGATTTTTTTTTTTCAATAGTGTAGAATTTTGCTGTGCAGATTTTCTACATTGTATTTTCTACTACTATGGAAATGTTTTTATTTGCAAGGGTATTTCCGCTGGGAGATGCTTCATCTCCAGGGTAACTTCTCTGAGAGTAGTTTTAAAAGTTGGTTTATGGAGAGTACTGCATCATGTTTTGCAGTTTTTGCAGTTTTCAAATGCTGCTTTAGACAGTAATAAAAAGATGTTATTCTTCTGATGCTATTTTTGCCCTGACTTGGCAGCGTCTCATTGTCTGAAGATTGGGCAGTCATACAGGTGTACCCAAGAATTTGAGAATTTAATGTAGTGATCAAATGTAGTGAGAAAATGAGAAAGGTGGGACACCACGTGGCTACAACAAGGTGCTCAGTGGCAGTATGCAGAATGGCTACTGGTGAAGAAACAAGGAAAAGGGTTGTTAAGAGGCTAACACAGGAATAAGGTAGGATTGAATAGGCAGGATTGTTGTGCATGAGGGTGACGGAAGGATGTTCTGGAGGCAGAAGTAGGAGGAGGAGAACCAGACCCATATCCTCTGCTAACATCTCTGGGTATTTTTAGGAGCGCTTCCTGAAAGTGCTCATGGTGTATAAACAGATGAGATTCCAGGAGGCAGCAGCGAGGGGAGCTGTATAACTCAGTGATGCTTGTACCGCAAATAGTACATTGCAAAGCGCAAATTGTTTGACTTTATTAGAACTGCAGCCTCCTGCAACAGATCAAGGGTCTAGTTTCTAAGCAAAATAATTGTAGCCTCAAGAAAGCTTAACTGTTGAAAGCCTTGCAGGACATAGATTACTGCTTGATTTGGCTTCAGGAGTTACATATACCCCTTGGATGTCAGACAATGAAGCACATTTGCTAAGCACGAGCTATTTTGAAGTCTCTCTCCACAGCAAGATGTAGCTCAATCTTGTGATCAGGAAACATGAAATGGAAAATAGGAGGAAGATAGCATCTGGCAAGTGGGCTTGATGGTGTTCTGCAGTTCTGGAGGGGCAGTTAGAAGCCAGGCAGATCTCATTCCAGCAGCAGGCAGCAGAAAGTCTGCTAGTCTAGGTGTGCAGTGCCAGAGTTAAAGCAGAAATGATAGCCACTGATTCACGAGGAACGAAGTGGTGTTGTTTGAAACATGAATTTCCTTGCACCTGCAAGGAAAAGGCTGACACTCTGAGCTGTCACCACTGACTGTACCTGGACAATATCCTAGCTGGCATGTCTTTCCATGAGAAACCTGTCCTTGGCAGCATCTCCTTCCCCACAACTTGTTGAAAATTTCTATCCTCTCTTCTTCTGGCTCTTTGCAGAGCAGATTTATGGTCCCACTTTCCTTTTACAAATAAAACCCTAAGTGCAAATCCGAAGGATAAATAATGCAGTGCAGACATGCCCGCAGCAATACTCTCTGTATTTATCATTGCTGAAAGTCTGGGAGGAAAAGCTGCAGAAGGCAAGATATCTTAACTGAGAAAACTGTTCTCATGCTTTCGTGCCAATTCTGGAGGCTGGAAAGCAATCCTGCTGTGCTTTTCCCCAAACAACCTGCTGGAGCTCAGGCAAACTCCAGGTTATCTGTTACAGGGGGCTAGGACCACCATTGTTCTTCATGGGCTGCCTGGTGGGCAGGCACCAGCCCCACTGCAAAGCTGGGGGCTGCTCATTGATACATGGAGTGGAGGGGTTTGCAAGTAGCTCTCAGCACTTGCTCTGCACTGGCTGAGGAGTAGGCATGGAAGAAATGATGGCACAAATATCACTCTGCCTGTTGATATGTCCAGTCTGCTGATCTGACCACTTCTTCCACCTGCAGTATCTAATGACGCAGTCTGGGGCAGGGGATGTTTAGGTAGTGCTCTGGACAAGAGTGGTTCTAGCTGGCATTGAGGAGGATGTACACCTGCAGAGTGGAAGAGGGATTTCTCTCTGCTGGCTCCTTGGCAGTAAACCTGGCAGTTGCCCTCCAGGCTCCTGGCTGCTAGCTAGGACTAGATGCTTGCAGTGAATCAGCAACTCTGGAACTGGAAGTTGCAGCACATGGTATATCTGTAATCACACCCAATATTGTTTGTGTTTTCTTTGTCTTGGTTCCAGCTATAAATTTAAGAGACTTCTGCTTAACTAGAGCACAGGGGCAATAATGTACTTCAGTGTGCAGCTGATGATGGTTGTTGAGCTGACACTGGCTGCTGAACCTGGCACCTTGGCGCTGCTGCAACCCTTGATGGAGCTGTGTATATGAGGAGAGGTGATGGAGTGCTCAGATGTTCTCATCTGCTCGGGAAGAGAGAAACTCGTAGAAGATGGGGACATGCTTACCACCCTCTGGGCTTCACAGCAGTGCTGTCACTGGTCCAGGCTCTTGCAGAAAGGGAAAACTTTTCCCTGGGGCTGGAAGCCTGTTATTGTCTTTGGTTCAGTGTTTTAACCTCCTGCCTCCTGTTCTTTTTTTTCTTTGCCCTCCCAGAGGAGCAGGCTTTCTCTGCACACCTGTGACAGTGATGCTCACTTGGTTCTCCTGCCTTGCCAGTGCCCTGCCTCCATCTGCATGCTGTGCATGGCAGGGCATCTGAGGCACTCTCCAGCCAGCTGAAGCAGCCCCATAATGGCTACCAGGCCTCAGCTGAGGTAAATTTAGGTTCAGTCTCTCTGAGGAGCTGTTCATTTTAAATTCCACACTGCAACCACAGATGTTTCCAGACATGCAGCTCACTGGGAATTATGACCTGTCCTGATGGGCTCAGTGCACGGAGATTTGGGACTGCTGTGTTTCACACACCCCTTGTACTTTCATGTTGTGCCATTTGGCTCAGCGTTGCCAGTGTTACAGAGAGCTGAAGGCAGTGGTTAGCAAGGCAACTAAAAAGACAGGTCACAAAACAGCTTCAGCACGGGCTGTGGTAACCAAGGATCCCCCAGCAGAGCTTGGCGGAGCAGACCCAGGTGCCAGGAGCAGCCAGCCGCCAGGCGCACTGAAACCCAACCTCTGTCTGCAGCAGCCAGTGGGAGGCCTGTGAAAGTCATAACTTCACTGATTTTTCCATCATTAGCTGTGACCTCCCTTCTGGCCACTTACTCCAGTCTCAAAGGATGGGACCCATTCTGAGGGACGAGCCATCTCTGCTCCCTGGGAGGAAAATTAGCCTCTAGCATCGCTTGCTTTTTACTTACTGTATTTATGGAAGCGGAAACACCACCTGAATTTCTCTGTAGACTCTGCAGGGAAATCATGTTTCCATATTGCATTATGAGAGAAATGCATTTGAAGTGTGCTGTGCTCAGTTAATTTTTTTTATGTATGGAGGCAAAAGAAACTTCAGTTCAAAATGAGTATATGTGTCTCTCTCCATTCACCATCCCTAGTGCTATAAATATGAACTGCATGTTACTTCCAGAACTGCAAGCCTTTAAGACCTCTCAAGGGAAAACATCACACCAAATTAATCTGCCGTCAAGTGGAAATTCTATATTGTTTGCATTTGCCAATGTTCTGTATGTGGCTGTAATTGCACTGAAGCAAATATCTGCTTCGAGTTCTTCACAAGATTAAATGTGACCAATTGGGCGTAAAAGAGTAATCGAAATGCGGAGCTGTTACTTCGGGTTTGTTAGAGACATTGCTCATTTTTGCTCTGACACAATGACACTAGGTTCTGGCTTTCTATCGCAGCAGGGAATCGTGGCAATGCAATGTGAGCTGTGGGATGACCAGGAGTGGGACGTTCCCACCTGGCAGAGTGCCCACGTGTGCCCCCTGCCACGTCCCTTCGCAGCTGTGCAGTCCTGTGGCCAATAGCAGTGCCTTGCTGTGTAGTGTTCAGTTGGCACCTTTCTGCTGGCTCCTGAGGAGTGTGGGGATCCCTCACCCCATAAGTTTGAAGCTGGGAGGAGCTGTGATGGTCCCAGCCCAAGCCCTTTGTTTTTGGGAGAGCCCCTGGCCTAGCCCATGTCACCATGTCAGCTCACCAAACCCTAAGTCCTGCCCCGTGCCATCTGCATGTGAAAAGTTAAAGACTGCTTGAAAACCTCATGGTTTCTTTTCTTTCTTTCTTTTTTTTTTTTTTTTTTAACCATTTAACCATTTTTCCTCCTGCCGTATAAATGCAATTACAAGCAAGTAAAAGTCTCTCCTCAAGTTGGCTGTGCTGCCTTTTAATTCGGCTTGAAAACCCAACTGCTGCCTGTACCCTGCGCAGCAGGTTGTTAAAAAAGCAGGCCCAGGTGGGTGAAATTGCCGGTCTGAATCCTTCTTTATTTCAGTTTCTTTCAATTAGTGGGCTTATCCAAAAAATACATTGCAAGCTCCAATCGGCTCTCCCCAGCAGAGTTTCTCAGTGCAGCTGCCACAGTGTGCCTGCAGTGTCCACGCGCTGGCCTCAGTTTGAGCCTGGCGGCTGGTTGTGCTCCTGCTGCTGGCCAGCCCCGTGCTAGCAGATCCCAGCTCCTGCGCGCTTCTCCTTCCTCAGCCTCAGGTCCAGCTCTCGCAGCTGCTCCAGGAAGCCGGAGTTGGGGCAGATCCCTCTGTGGGAGCGCACAGCCTGAATCGCGTCGGCAAGAGACATGTCCTCGCAGATCATTAGGAAGGCGAGGACAAGAGTTGCAGATCGACTGATTCCCATCGCACAGTGGACCAGTACTTTGCCTGTGGAAAGGAGAGTGGGGCTTTTAATGGCTGGGGACAATGCATAAATGTATCATAGCGTTCATGATTGCACTGCGAGTTTTGGGCTTAGCCCTCAGCCTGGTGGCATGTGGAGATGGCAGAGAAAAGCGCCCAGAGCTTCGCAGCCTGCTTCAGTGGGACTTGAGTCAACAGTGTGAGCAGTGAGGCTATGTGAGTTCCCCCTCTTTCCTCTGCAAGGTGTGTCCCTGGCTCCTGAGCCTAGCCTGGTGTCCCTGCTTCACCACTCCTTGTTTTGGGAGTGACATACTAGCTGGTGAAGCTTCAGGTGAGACAAAAACATCCTTGTTGATGACATTAGATCCAGCTGGAAACCTCAAACTGATTGCCCCCATCTCCCCTGGTTTTAATTCTGGGTACTTTGAGCACAGCTTTTCATCTTAAATCCCGTTTTGTTTGTGGCAGAGTACTTATTTAGCAACTGCTCTGGTTCTGACTAATGATGATCACAGAGCCACATGCTCAGAGAGTGTGAGCATGTGTTGTAAAAACCTGCTCTGGCCAGCAGGTTCAGAGAGGTGTTGATTCTGCAGTGTGTGTGACACTGCCCACCCTTCGTTATCCTGGCATGAGAAATCTGAGCTCAATCCCTAAATATAGACGTGTCTTCAGCAGAAATAAAGAGACAAATATAGTTTCTAAACAAGCAGTGAAAATAGTGACAGCAGAGGTGGACTGGGCATTGAAACCTTTTGAGGAATGATGAAATCTTCTAATGTAACGTAAAATTCTGCAGAATTAGAAGATTGATTTTTTGTTTGCATTTTCCCATTCAGATAGAGGTTCTCAGAATTTATTCATATTCTTTATAACAACCTAACGTTGTTGTTCAAGGTAAATTACGTCTCTCTCACTTTCACTAACCAAATGGGCACTCTTGGAAGTCTACTTTTGTGGGAATGAGGGGAAATGCTTTGCACCTCTTACTGAAAGCTGATGCTAATCTATATTTTTCTCTAGATGTTATTTTCAATGTGCTGCACTGTCTCTAGCCTTGCCAGCTATCATGCGGGACATGTATTCTATGTTATCTGCTTCAGAAGAAGCACTTCAGACCAAAATAACTCAGGTCTGAGAATTTCAGAAGATATAAAAGAGTCCCGAACACAGCTTCTCTTTGGGAAATATTGGAAATAGGGCTAAGTCCAACAGGCTTTTGGGAAAATCCGTGCTTAAGTAGTTTGCAGGCCTGGCTGGAAAGCAGTGGCAGTGACTGGGAAAACCCAGACACTTGTCCTACTGTGCAACCAAGGCAATGAAAAACAAAGAACAGAATGTTCTGAAAAATTTTCTTGGAATCGGAAACACCTTCTTTTTGTTGTTTGACAACTTGTAAGCTACCAGCACTGTATGAGTGCAAGAAAAATAAATATTTATGGTTTGAACCACACCTGGAAGCAGGGTACACTGAAGCACACAAAATCATGGAGATGGTCTTGATGATGAATTTGAGTTTGGTGCACTAAGTAGTTTGAAATTCAATTGTAAACACTGGATAAGACTTGCTGTTCTGAGCCTCCTTTCTGCAAAGTGTTTCTTGGGTCTCTTTTTTTCACCCATAAGGAGTATTCTGTCTTGGGAAGACCTCGGCCCCATCTACAGTCTGGATCTGAAAACTAAGCTGAGCACAGGTAGAGGTGCTGCCACTGCGCATTGTCCACTGTGTTTTTGCTGAGGACACAGAGAGCAGAACAAATTCCAGGGACCAGCTTGTACAGCTGGCTTTGCTCTCTGCTGGTTTAAATCCTAACCGTGTGCGAGACGAGGAAGTGGGGAGTAAGAGCATATATAAATTTTCTTCCCTGCTTGTCTAGGTTGTCTGCACTTCAAATGTGTCCTAGCTGAGCAGCTTGTTTTAAAAGATGTCTCATCGAGAGTCCAAACAGGCTGTAACAGTTGACCTCATGCCCAGTCTCCATGGCTCTCCAGTACGCTGGTTCCCATGGGGGTGCAGGTATTATGTCTGTTTTACATGTGCAATATGTATTTCACATTGTTAGTCTTTGCTTCAACACACAGGGAGGTTATGAGAAGTGCTGGTACACTGAGAATAAAATGACTGTTTGTTGCAGATAAATCGGTCGTGTGAAATGATTTAATTAATGTAAAATTGCTCTAATGAAAGCAGATTTGAATTTAGTATGTGATTATTTGTAGCGAACAAATTGAATGTTAACGTTGAGTCAGGAAACAAAAGCCGTGTTGCTATTCAGTTCTGTTTACAGGCTCAGACCCTGTCCCTGTCTGTACGTGGGTTAAGAGGCACTCCGAACCACCATAATACACTGTGCCTGAGCGATGCCCGAGGCACATCTGACTGCAGCCATCTCACACCGGAGCACTGTGTGAGCCTCCTGCAGGAGCAGCTGCCTGCACCATCGCAGCACCAGGCTGGGCTCCTGGGTGGCTGCTGGAGCAGGGCCTGGAAAGCACTGCTGGGAGCAACTGTGAGCAGCCTTCACAATGGCCATTGTGATGCCTGTCCCTGTCGTGGGGTGGGCAGGGAGGTTATAACCAGATCTTCTGCCCCACAGAATCTATGCCACAAGCTGAGGTCCTCCAGCTTTGCCTCCCCGGCCTTTGTTTTGCGCATGGAGTGCTAAGAGAAGTTGGACTGATCCCACATGAGAGGGCTGTGTTGCAACCTTGTCTCAGCGAGCGTGTAACAGGATCCCTTAGGAATAATGGGATTAACTGAGGAGAAGAGGGGGCACTTAGCTTCCAGGATTCTTAAATCTTGCAATCCTTATTTGAAACGTGGCACCGCGCGTCTCAAGCTACTCTTTGCAGAGGCAGACAATGGCTGTCATCTGGCTGGGATTTGTGCAGAACAATAACACTTGGTTTTTAACAACGGATTATGGATATTGTATCCAGCTCATGCCTGCTGTAACTCTGCTGACATCAAAGGGTTTGCAGTAGGGATAAAGTTTGCAAATTCAACTTTGTTGGCCAAATTCAAGTTGGGAAATTCAATGTAGTTGAACAAATTAGCCATTAAAACGCATAATATCTTATTGTTCTTGTGCTACTCATCATTAACTGAGCTAAATGTCCTGAACTAGCCCTTGCTTCCTTGCAGGATGGATATGATTTGGCTCCAGACCAGGCTCCAGCTCCATCACCCCAGGTGTGTGCCCCAGCTGCCCTCACCCCATTGGGCCCAGCAGAACCATGCTGCCTACTTGCAGCAGCTCTTCCTGCTCCACCACAGTTCCCTCATCTCTTTCTACGTTGTGCCACCATGCTGTAGCCAGGAGCATGACCAATCGCCTAGGTCTTGATTCATCAAGCATCCATTTTCTCATGGCTGTGAACAGGAAGAAGTCTGAGGGGAGCTGTAAGTGGCAGTGTGCCTCTTCTGCCCAGGCCTGGTGGAACAGGTAGGGGCATCTGCTGGGGGGCAGTGCCAGCATGAAGTGATTCCTGTGGTACCCCTGTGGCAGAGTCAAGAGAGGACCCTTTTCTGCTCAGTCCAGCTTTTTTCCCAGCCAACAAACGACAACAGCAATAAAGAAGGTGAAGGAGTTCGACTCTTAGTTAGCTCCAGTGATGTGGAAGAAGGGAAATGCCTTGGAGAGAGTTTACCGTTATAGTAAGTTAATGGATGGCTTTAACCTGCCCATTTTAAACATGTTTGGAGGGCAAGAAAATGATAAGCTTGGGAATTATGCTTGGGAATCTTTCTCTCTGTACAGTGCTTGTGTGATAGCTGTCATGGCATGCCTTCATCTCTGCACTTAATTCACATTTCCTTCCCCTTTTGCTCGACTTTGTCAAACTGCTGATTTATGCTCAGGCTTAGCTGCACTCCCAAAAAATGCTAACTGCCCAGATGCCTGTGCAAAGGGGCAAGATGGATACTGGTATCTCCAAAGACCTGTTTAGTTAAAATAGAAATCTAGAACAAATAGATAGTAGTCTTCAATGACTTCTCAATCAAACAGAAGTACCTCATTACATCCTGAATTTAATATGAACAGGCCTCTTTTCACCTGGCATAATTTTGTGTTCAGCATCGCTGCTTACAATAAATGCAGGTTTTTTTCCTTCTAAATGATGTGAATAACAATCCTCTCCCTGTCTCATCCCTTCGCAGGTCATGGATATTTAGCTGCTAAATTTCTGTACCTCGGGAAATTATGCTTTTAGAACATCTTGTTTATATATTTTCCAAACTGTTGCACTTTCCTTGAAATGATGAATGTCAGCAACAGCTGGACTGTATATGATTGAATTTCACCTTATCTTCATTCCCAGAACCCTGCTTCCATATGGAGTTCAGTAAAGCAGTATCTAAAAATGCGGGAGTAGGGATAAATAGTCACTCAAGAGATGATGAGTTCATTGTGTTTGCCTTGAGCACTAACTTGTTCTGATAACTTCTAGTATTTGGGTATGCAGAACACTGCTTTTGTTTGCTTTTGTGGCCACCATGATTCATCTGTTGTTTTCTGTCTTTTGTCAGTCCATTTGGAATTTTTTTTTATTTCATTTTGCACACAAATGAAGAGATTTTGGATCTTACTTTTCCCTGGAGCACCACCAATAATGACTTCACTTGTAAATAGTATATGCTGTAATAGGCATGGGTGCAGATCCAAGTTTCCCAAGTACATTAGTGGTTTTGAAATCTAAATGCAGCCCTCAATTTCACAAAGGCAAATGCTTTCTATTGGGATGGATTATGGCCTCCAAGCAGCAGTAAACTCCTGTGTCTAGCACAGAAGTGCACTGGGTTCTGTAACCATGTCTTCCTTTCCCAGTTTGTACAGTGTAGGTCTCCAAGTGCGTTGATCAGATCTACTCACTCACCAAGCTGTGCAGTTAATATTTTAGGGCACTCATTGGTATTTCAGCAGAATAGCCTGCTGTGTGCCATAACTAAGTGCTCTCTTAATAAATCACTTTTCAGTGGGCAGCTGCATTTTTGTGGTACAGAGGTGACTCTATTGTGAAGAGTCCTTTGTCCTTCAAGTTCAGGGTTCCCACCAGCTTCAGGCCTCTGGCATTGTACCTGGACAGTGTTGAGCAAGTCAAAGGATTTTTCCAGTTATCTTCCTATCTGCAATTTACTTCCTAGCAACAGTGTGGTGTTAATCTCCTGACTGGTGCTGTTGCTTAGGTGCGCTTCTACCAATTTGCTTCCTAGCAAGTTCTTCCCTTGTTTGTGATCATAGGAATTCTGCAGATCGTTAGCATTACAATATTTTTTACCTGATTCCAGCTATTATTTTAAAACAAACAGTAATTTGGCAAGATCACATGTATGCATCTCCTCCCAGAGCTCGGGACATCCACACGTAGGTAGTAAATGTCTGCTATTCTGTTGTCTTTTGCTGAGAGAGATGTTGAATAGCATGAGACACAGGAAAAACCCCTCTGAAAGCTCATTCAGTGCACTCTTCCCAGTTTTATCTTCAGTGAAAAAAAACATCTGTTCAACTGTATTTTAGCATTTTCTTCCTTCATGTGCAAATACAAAGGCATTACACATAAGCTGTCGGAAGCTTACACCAATTGCAGTTTTTGAAACAAGCAAAAAATTCAAAGCAAAATCCACCCATATGACAGCCTGCCCTCTGGCCTTAGAGGACTTGCATGGGCCAGGGCAAGGCTGTAGCAGGAGCTGTTACCGGGCTGGTGAGCAGTGTGCCCTGTAGGACAGCACAGAGGCAGTGGCAGCTGCTGCTCTGGAGCAGCTCAGGGTGACTGAGTGACTGAGTTCTGAGATTCCTGTGCTCTGGTCTGATGAACTGCTCTGCTTCAAAGCACAGCCTGGACTTCCTACCCCAAGTCCCTGTAAAACTTGGAAGGAATCCTGGCAGTAACTAATTTGTTTCTGAGCAGGAATCTCTAAAAGAAGAGTATGAGAGCAGTGCTAGCGGACTAGAAATAAACTTCCAGAGCAGTGTGACTTTATTTCTATTCTTCCCCATATGGGGTAGTGATTTCAGTAACAAGCTACATATTTTCTCTTTACAACTGGCGTCATCAACTTTGCAAGACTTGCTGTGGGAGTTTGGGAGGCAGGGATGACTGCTTGGTTTGTGTTTGCTCGTTTTGGGGTTCTTAACCCCACCTGCAGGTGGTTAGTTTATGCCGAGTACTGCTTGACCAAGTTGATCAAGTTAACAAGCAGCACTAAGAAGCATGCTGAAAGTATGTCATATGCATAGATGATCTGGTTACCTCTTGGGGTATTCAGTGCAGCTCTTATGTATCGAGCAACTGGGTAGAAGTAAATGCTGAGATCAAAGTTCGGGTTGTCCTCTGCTTCTACTCCATAGTAATCCACAGGAAGGTCTCTGTAGAACTTGGGCCCAGTGTTGAGGTGGAAGCGCCCAGCAGCAGCATTCACAACATGGGAAATGCCCATTTGGCTCAGCTGTGCTTTGTCACGAGCAACATACCTGGAGGAAGAAAAGGGTTTTTCATTCTCCTGCTGCACTGTGGTGCAGCATAAAACACGCAGCTGCTGGTGCAGTTTGTTAGAAAGTTATAAAGGCTTTCTTCCTAACAAAATGATTAGATTTGAAGTGTTTACAAAAATATTTCAGGACAGAATTGGACTTTTAAGAAACTGGCTCTTAGATTTCCTACACTTTCCATCAAACATCCACTTAGATTCTTCTCAACTGAGAAGGTTCGGGGTAAGGTTTATTTGTGTACAAGCTGAAAGTTTTCTGATTTGTTTTCTCACCAAGTCACCTCTGCTGAGCATCCATCAGTTCTGGGACTGATGTCATCTGAAATGGGAAGCAAGTACCAGGGTGTCGTGTTTGACATTGCTCTGGTGTGAGCGCTGTAGTAGTGATGCTGTGACCCCACCAGGCTGTTGCACCATGGGTCTCCTGTGCTAATGCAGGGGGAGAAATTAGGAAGGGTAGTATTCTCCTGGAAAGGAACGCTCAAGTTGCTTTTCCTATGTGCTGTGGTATCCTAAGCAAGGTTCAGCCTCACTCAAAAATAAGACTTATTCCAAAGGGTCTCCAAATTAATACCTAGCTCTCTCTTTAAAAAGATAGGATGATTTAGGCAGGGATGAGGTGGGGGCTAAGAGTTTCATCAGCACCTTCAGCCCTTCCCTCTCTTACAGGTCTCCCACATAAAGGTTTGGCCAGACTTCATCCACATGCCCCATAGGGCGCGCACGTGTCCACAGCAGGCGCTGCAGCTCCTCCAGGGATGGGGTGTCCCCCCTCTGCCCTCCCTGTGCGATGCTTGAGGCTCTTCTTATTGTGGGACGCAGCAGGTCCCTGCCACACAGCGAGTCCCAGGCCATCCTGAAAGGTGGAAGGCAAACAGTTACCACCAGCCAGACATTTCTGAGTTAGTGCTCTCTTCCTCTCCGCTTACCCTTCACCCAATTTGCCCTGGGTTGCAACGATGGGCTCTTTGGGTTTGGAAATTGCCTCTTTTTTCCATGTTGCTAGATTTATCATAGCAGAGGCCACAACTGGACTTTGCAAATGTTGTTGCAATCTAAACAATAACAGTTCAGTGGCTCACATACCCCCATGTTGGGGTTCAGACAATGCCTTTGCAGCATATTCTTCTAAAACAAAATTTTATGTCATTATGGCAAATTGGAAGCTAAAGCTTTTGCAAACTGCAACGCTCAGGACCTCAGTGGGCTTATTTTGGCCTAACTACTCAACCTTTTTTATTTTTTAGTCAAACAGTTCACTAAAACCTCATGATTATATTTTTTAAGGTGTTTTTTTTGTTGTTTTTTTTTCATAGTCATATAAACTTTCCCAGTTCCTATTTGGAATTCTAGATGCTGTTGTTACCACAGCAGTACAGCCCAGTTGTTGATATGGCAGCATGAGAGTTCCCCTGCCTTTCATAGAAAGAGGGAATGCCATGGAAAATATTTTGTGTAAGAGTAGCTACTCAGCAGGAAAAGAAAAAGTTACCAATTTGATATGCTGTGCTTTTCCTTCAACCATGCAACTAGAAATTGCTTATATATACTTTATCTGATTTGTCTTTTGTAATTTGCTTAACCAGCTGAACTGAATTGAATGGAATTGGTCATGCAAGATCTTGCTCACTAGCTAACTCTCAATTGTCTGCTTCAATGCAGGAAACTCTGTAATGAGTATTTTGGTTATTTCCAATGGTAATTGTGAGCCACACTTGCTTTCTTGATGACAAATGCTCTTGGTAGAAAAAGTCTGTATGAGTAAGTTATAGTAATTCTTGCTGGTATTCATATAGGCATTCGTATATGTTTATTTTTATAGGTTGTTTCATTTTCATTCCACTGTTTTCTGCCCTCTCCAATAACTCACCCATTTCTAATCTTGAAAGATCTACTTTAATACTTTATTTACATGGAGAAACTTAGATTTTGTTTCTTTTTCTTCTTTTTATTTTTTAGAAATCAATCTGTCTCTGGAATTGTTCTATTTCCATGTGGTACTCTTCCTTCGAAATAGCAGTTCCTTGTGTTTGCTGCAGATTTTAACTCCTTGGGATGATTTTTGAAGAGAATAGAAACTGTGTTTTTACAGTTTCTGTATTTTTCTCTTTTAAGAAATTGTCTTACAAAGAACATTTTTATGTTCTAAAAATTAGTCAAGCGTCCATATTACAGATCTTCTACAAAGTCTGTCAGTTCAGGTAGCTTTAGACCAGGAGTATCTAGACTTGGATGAAGTTGTAGTCAGTGAGTCAAAGTCATGTTCTGCCACTTTGTGTAAATGATTAGACAGCTGGTTTGGGGAAAACATTCCAGGACAGCAAACCTGAGATCTTCCATCTTTCTACTGAACAGTTCTATCACACATAAATAGGCTGCATTCATGTTTAAGCACATCCATTATTAGGAACTTCTTTTCTAACAGTGTTAGCTGTGGTGAAATATTTTCCTGGTTTCCCATTAAGGCTCATTCACCAGTCCTAAGTACAGCTTTTTTTTGTGATGTTATTTGATGGTATCTGCCTTTACACAGACAAAGACAATGGACACCAGGGGGAAGTTCTTTACAGAGAGAGTGGTGAGGTGCTGGAACAGGCTGCCCAGAGAGGCTGTGGATGCTCCATCCCTAGAGTGTGCAAGGCCAGGTTGGATAGGGCCCTGGGCAGCCTGGTCTGGTACCAGATCTGGACGTTGGTGGCTCTGCCTGTTGCAGGGGGATTGAAACTTCATGATCCCTGGAGTCCCTTCCAACACAATGATTCTATGAAAGTCAGAGAGAGGGTGAAGGCTAGCTTGCTTTGGGAGCTGTTTTGCTGAAGGAGAAATGGGATAATCAAATTCCTGCTCCCAGAGGCAAAAGAAGGAAGCAGTGACCACAGTTGACAGCTTTTGTCCACCAAATGCTGACCAGAAGCCACCCATCCACTGTGCACTTGGGTTCATTTGCCTTGCTATCCCATTGTCAAGGGGGCACCCTGTTATTTCAGTACACTTTCTCCTGCCACCATCACAGTCTGACTTGTCCTCTTATACGCAGTAAGTTTTCACTAAATAACAGTGTTTCCAGGATGGTCTCTTATTGTTTGTATTACAAAGAACTCCACTCCAGAATGTGCTCCCCTCCTAAAATGTGTGTATGTCCTCCAGTGTCAGCTTTTACTGTGAAAACAAAAGCAGATATTCTTGCCCATTTGAGATGGCTTTATGCAAGGCAAAGCATGAAGGCATTCCCATGCTGGAATGGACATTCCCCATCAATTCTGATAGCTGCTCTGGCACTGGGCACCCTGATGCTTCTTTGCCAGCTGTGCCCTGGCCTGCTGCTGGTCATCTCAGACACCTGTGTGACTCTTCTGCTCCCACACAGGAGGTCTGCAGCCAGAATGGGACTTGTGTTTCCTGTGTCCAGACCACAGGGCCATCTGCCAGTTCATTTAATGCTTTCAAGAATAACAGCCTCCTCCAATCCTTCCCACCTCATAATATCTGCAGCAAATGTTCCTCCTTTTTTTGACATATCTCTTTCCTTGCAGTGTGGTTAATGACCACTCTAGGGCACTTCTCACTCCTTATAAAGTTGCTTTCAACTGTTTCATTTTTTGTTTCTTATTTACTGTTGCCTGTTATCCATTCCCCTTGCCCTCTCCACTGTATAAATACCTTGATTTTTATGTTACCTGGCCACAAAGGACTGGAGGCTGCAGTCAGCTCCACTTTCCTAAGCCTCCCACAAGTAGAGAATGACAGGGCATTGCCCCAGAGTCCCAGCAGTGTCATGGTGTTAGCACAGCCCTTACGAGCACCGTGCTTTCCAGATCCATAACCCCATCCTTGTAACAGCCTGGGGGGACAGCTCTGAAGTACAGCAAACCTTAGGAAAACTGCTCTGCTGGAGATGTTAAAAAAAAGTAGTCTTTCTAGAAGCAAACATAACTGTGTAGACTTGGCAAAGGAGGCAGTGTGTGCTTCACTTACTGCATGGATTCTGAGAGCAGTGCAATAATGGTTTCCTTTGTAAGGTGGGCCCGCAGCTTTGGAATTGTGCTAGGTTGACTTTCAGCTTGTGCTCACATTAATCTTGTATTCTAGCTAAGAAATTTACTCTTGTTGATATACTGACATGAACAGCAGAAGTTGTGTGTGAAACTTATTTGTTTTGCAATCTGGTCACATTTGTTCAACTGGAGAACAGAATCAGTTCATGTAAACTTTATGTCCAATAAAAGCTGAGGACTAGAGTTCAAATTTCAAATGTGAAATAATTGGAACTAACAGGCTGTGAATGATTCAAAAGCGGAGAAGTCTCTGTAGAACTATTCAGTTAATATGCTGAATAATGAATGCACTGGAAAAAAAAAAAACAACCATAGCTTTCCAGAGAAAATTTACAGACAGTAAAACAAGGCAATTTTTTTTTTTTTATAAATGACTGCTCAGTTCTAGCATCAGACCAACATTTTATACATTTTATACCACTAATTTTATACATGCAACTGTAATTTACTGAAATGCACATATTTAAAGAAAACAATGATATGAATAAAATTGTGTGATGTTTTCTAGGGAGCATGAATAGATTAAAACAAATGAGTATGAAAGGAAAATGATTATATGTAATAATGTGGTTCTTCATTTTAAAAATGTTTTTAATGATTCTCAGCTCAATTTCTCTATATTCTTTATTTGCAGAGGATTTGTTTCTGTGAAGTGTTGTATGGATGAGCAATACAGTTTTAAAATGCCTGTTTCTGAATAATAATCCCATGAAATGTTCCTGATCTTTGCCCTACTAGTGTTGTATTGCAGTAATTATTCAATTACAGAGGAGAAATTTTACCATTATATTTAGATTAATTTTGAATTGGTTTGTACTACAACTGTAATTTTCGCTGAAATGTATAATAGAATTTCCTTAATTATGAATAAGAGGAGAATTGCAATCAGAGGCCTATCACAAAGTAAAGGTCATTTGGATGATCTAGTGACCTAGGTGAGAGCCATGCATGTCACCTTGCCATGCCCATATCCGCAAGCCCTTATCTGACAACCACTAGCGCCTTTGCCACAGTAGGATCAAGAGAAAAGTCAGGTCAGAAGTTCGTTATGCTGTGTGGTGATGTATATCCCAGGAAGAAGATAAAAGTGGTCCTCTTAAAGTCCTTAAAGTCAGAGAGAGTATCTCTGCTGCCTCTTTAGGCTTCCTCTCTTCCCCTCAGTGGATGCCTCTTTTGGTTGCATATATTCTGGCTGTTTTTGTTGGTTTTTGATGAACTAATTTACTGCAGCCTTCTCTATTAATCCGTTGGTGGCATTCAGTGCCTTCCTGAGGAGGAGGCCTTTAGAGACTGATCCCTCAACAGGTGTCTCAGTCCTTGGAAATGTGTCACCTTCATCTGGTTTTCCAGTACCACAGAATTTAATAAGAACAAACTCAAATGCCAGTGCAGTTTGACCGTTTGGCAGTACATTGGTACAAGATCAAGATGAAAGGATGATGTGAAGGCTGAGCTGGGGCAACATGAAACTCTGCAGCATGATGCTATGGAAAGTCGAGAGGGAAAAACAACTCTCATGTCTAAGATATTTAGCTGGTGCAGTAGTAGAAAGCGCTCATATCTTTTGTTTTTCCTTCCATTTTTCCAATGCCAGGATAAAGGAGGGGTCTTAGTACTATATGAGAATATCAATACTCATGTTTCAGTGGTGCATGCAGTATTTTGATCATCCTAGTCATTGTACTGGATTTTGTGTATGGGTAAAACATAGCCTGTTCTCCCCTAGCTTTAGTAGAAATATTTTTACTTTTTTAATCCTGAGAACAAAGAGCTTTACATCCTGTTTTTTCTCAAACTGGTATGTGCTGTAACCTTGTCATCTTCAAAGATATCACTGTCTGCACTTCAGATAGAGTGATTTGTGATGGTGAAAGACCAGACAGAAGCCCAGGGCTTGGCCAAAGCGGGTCATGTCAAGTTCATGCCTATCATGTATTCAAAAGCCATAAATGTTTCTCAGAAAGCCTATCCCTTGGAAAGATTCCTCCAAGATAACATATGTTTGAGAAGGGGTTTTATGTTGCTGCATCTCTGCACAAATGACAAGTATTACTGTCATCATTCTTTCTTCCTTAGTATTTAACCCCCTGGTCTCACTGGAGTCATAATTTATCAATTGCTGGGAGCACTATGGGATATAGATGGTATGAATCAAATACAGCAATGACTGAGGTAGAGCTGGCTGGACTTGAAAGCTGTGATAGAGGCAGTTTCCAGAGAAGCTCAGGGTATTTGCATTGCCAACTGTTTGTAAGAAAATCTCTCCAGCAGCTGGAGGATGTAATTTGAACAGCACTTCCAAATTTAGTAGAGGCTTCCAGGCTGACAACTTTCACCCAGCTATACATCGAGGGGTAGGCTACCACTTGCCTTGGTGTGACTTAGCAGATCCATTTGGATGCCTTGCTCTAAGGGGACCATGCAGAGCCTGTGTCAAGGAGCAGACTAGCTAAGTTGACCACAAGAAAGATGAAAACATCCACTTGTTCCTCCTCTCAGTAGTGCACCCATACCAAAGCCCTAGTCCTGACTAGAGAGGAATTGCGACACCGCTCCTTTTTCCAAGTAGAACTTTTTTCTGTGTGACATCCAGGGAAATCAGCAGTGTTATTTCTGATACAAAGCACTACTGAAATGTAAGGAAGAAATTAATCAACCCATTCTGATTCTCATATGTGTTGATTTTACCACAACTTCCGCTGATGTTATGGGTAGCCAGGCCTCAGAAGCCTCAAAAATGTCTGTCTCATTTTTAAGTAGCAAGTCTGTGGGCCAACCAGCAGGGCTCAGACCTGCTGCTCTTGGCGGTCTCAGGATGCACAGCAGTGCTGAGTACTTGGGACAGGGTGGCCTCATTCTCTTCTGTGACTGCGGTATAAAATATTTTCTTGTCATCAGCTGATTAGTACACTTGTATTTACCAGTCGTGTAATTAGACAGAAGCAGTCACCCTTTCACAGGCAGTAGTATTTGCACTAACTGTGTAAAAATCTTCTCACCTATTAATTTGGCTGATTTTTCTGCATCTCGTGTGTGCATTTTCTTTATTCACTAGCCACAGGAAATTGTCTTGATATATTGCCCACACTGTAGCTTTGACTGGGTATAAGAGAAACGAAAAATATGGGCAGCTAAATAGATTTTCCCTGACTCACCTCTTGCTCACTGAATAGAAAGCCAAGGACTTTCTGGACGCAGTTGCATTCTTGTAGTGTAATTGGGATTTTAACCATGCTTCTGAGTCAGAACAGAGACAAGGGTAGGCTTGTGGAGTATGCTTCATAGAAACTGGTAGTGGTGGACTGGTTTGTGCACAGAACAAAGGAAGGATCTCATCCACCCCATGTTTAGTGAGAAAGATATGGATAAACAAAGCTTGGAGCACTCCCACTGATACCAACAAGTTTAAGCCATCTTGTAAGGTAGCCCCAGTATGGACCCCATATGGTTCCAGAACTGTATTGCTCTGGGGTAAACATGCAAGAAATATCTATTGCAAAGGTGCTGAGTTGATAGATGCTAGAGG